GGCCCCCAAGTCCACACCCGAAGCCAGTAAAAACAGCCTTTTGAGCGACAAAGATCGTCGAAACGAGGCATGCGGGGAACACGCGAAATCCTCGATACTTACAGCGTTTACGCTTCTTTCCAAAGCGATAAAAAAGTGTGAAAGTAAGCCCGACAGAGCCGTAGCTGATCAGGATCGGAGCTGTGAACTGTGTCGCCTTCACAACGTGGCTCAAGCCATGCGGAAAAAGGCCGAGTGCTTTTCTCATGCTTTCTAGGGCGTTGTCAATTCAGATTGGCAGCGGAGCTTCGTGCTCTGAGGAACCTTTGGCGAGCCCGACGTTACATATCACGATAGGCAGCTGCGTAAGCTTAAGTCCTACTTTCCCTGCTCCAACGCCATGGCAATGCTGGAGGGCCTGACATGGGCCAAGTTCATGGAAGCCACTTCAGAGAGCAAAACCACTGAGGGCAAGTACGGCATACCTAGGTATGACGGCAATGTCCACCGGCTCCAGGAGTACACGTACAGAGTGAAGTTGCGGGAGCTGAAGGAAAGCCAGATGGAGGCGGCAGAGTTGAAGAAGATCGGCCCATTGGGCATCCGCCTCGTGGAGGGTCTGAGAGGACCCGCTTTACACATTGTCCAGGAAATCTCCCCGGAAGAGCTGGCCAGCAACAAGGGCCCAGCTTTCATAGTCAAGAGCCTCACCCGGGCGCTGAGGCCGAAAAGAGAACAGGAAGCGCGTGAACTCTACAAGGCGGGGGGGGAAGGAACACGGGCAATTAAGCAGGCAATATGGTGAGCCATTCTCCGTCTACGTTTTGCGGAGGCGCACGTGGTGGTCTATGCTACAGGACCTTGACAGTAGCATAAAACTGCCAGAGGAGATGCTGGCAGAACAAATGTTGCAGAACGCCCGCTTGACCGACGATCAGGTCCTCATGATCCGCACGGTGGTCGGCAAGGCGCTTACCGTGGACGCCGTGTGTGAGGAGCTCGTCTCGCAGCACGCCTCGCTGCACCTCAAGGAAAAGAGAAGCCCGAACTTCCTTCCTCGCGGACGCGGAGGACCGGGTCACAAGGGCGGCTACAAGGCAGGCCGGGGCAAGGGCCATGGCTACCTGGCCGGGATGGATGACGACGACGACCGCCCCGACGAGGCCTATGCTGCTTGAGACAATCAGAGTCAAAGCCTCGGCGGCTTTGAGGCCGATGCTTGGCCCTATGCCTACCAGGCCACCACGACCCCGGACTACGATTACGTTGATGAAGGAGGGGGTCCTGCAGGCGTTCACGGCAATGATCCAGGAGGGCTTCGACGAGACCCACGATGGAGAGGCCACGGATCCTCCAGACTGAGGGCGAGGCCTACATGCTGAGGAGCCAGGCTACTCAACGAGGCCACAGTGGATTTCAGAACAAGCGCTATGAGTTCCGTGGAGAGATGAGCATCGAAGAGCGCAAGGCCGCATCAGCTCTTTGAAGGAGCGAACCACATGCAAGAGATGCGGCCAAAAGGGTCACTGGGCACATGACCCCAGTTGCCCCAAGGGGACTGGAAAAGGGAGTCCTCCAAGGCGGGCCGGGGCACCTCCTCGTCGGCTTCGGCATCCACGGCGGCCAGCAAGGGCGGCAAGAGCTCGGCATCAGCAAAGACAAGGCCCAATGGAGCTCCCGGACCAGGATGGCACAGAGACGCTGAGTATGGCTTCGCTTTCCGAGACGTGGTTGGAGGCTGGGCTGAATGAGGCCAAGGAGACCGCACCAGAGGCCGCACCAGTTACCGAGGCCGAGCCATCGTCCCCGAGGAAGCAGTGTCTTCAGGCCCGCTTCACCACCAAGGGCACCAACAAGCACTACTTCATCAGGACCTGCCTGGACTGCAAGGCTGTAGTGGAGCCCCGCCACCAACAAGGACGTCAAGGAGGCAGGCTACACCAAGAAGCCGGAGGACAAGGCACGAACAGCCACGTCTGGAAATGGCACTGCTTGGACTGTGGCACAAGAAAGGAAGGCCGTTTCGACAAGTCGTCTGGCCCCTTTGCTGAGGTCTTGGGCGGTGTCCTGGCGAGTGGCTTCATGCGGTCAAGGTCATGGAGCTTGCCGGCACGGTCGTGATGATTCAGGAGAGCGGCGGCCTTCCCGTCGAGTTGGAGAAGCTTCCCTCGATTGTGGAGCGTTGTGTGGCTATCTACCGGCAGAAAGAAGCAGTGAGGAGTGCGAGTGCGCAGGCAGCGGCTACTACGAGCACGCAAGGCCCGACCTGGGGTGAACCCGGGACTGTGGCCGGGGCCGGCGCAGAATCTTCTCAAGTCGGGCAAGTACCGACAGGACACCCTTCAAGACTACGTGACTACGTACAACACCTACCCCGAGTACGCCGACTGGATCATCCGGAACCTCGCTGAGCCGTCTCTGCAAGCTTTTCTACGATATGCTGCTCTACGACGGGAATCCGAGCCCAAGGCCTTCATGGCAAATGAGATCGCTGTCTCAGAGAACTACCTGCTGGCCGTGCTGGATTCGGGATGTAATCAAACATGCCATGGGGAGCTGTGGATGCGCAAGTATGGCGAGGCCAGCGGGCAGGAGTTTCGTCCTCTACAACAAACACAAGGACAGTCGCTTGGTGGGATCGGAGGGAAGGTCCAGACTTTGAAAAACAGACCATCCCGATCTCCCTCCAGCTCCAGGACGGCAATTTGGCCCACGGCAGCATCGAGTCCATCGAGTTGCAGGGGTCAGAGGCTCCTCTCCTCCTCAGTTGCAAGGCCCAGCAGCAGCTAGGCATTGTGTTGGACCTAGGGAACCTCACGGCGTACAGCCGTCTGTTCCAGCAGGATTTGGACCTCGAGGATCGCGATGGACTCCCTGCCGTCAAGCTGCTTCCCCTGAATGACCAGTACCAGCAGCAATTGGCGATGTTTGCAGAAGGGGAACCCGCGAGCAAGAACGTGGAGATCAAGGACAACGAGCCCACCGAGGAGCCCTCCAAGGAGTCTGACTTCTGGCACAAGCAGGTCAGGGTTCATGTGACACCGCGCGAATCCCTTTACGACCCCAGAACCGAGCCGAGCCTCGAGGACAACATCGCGGAGATCCACGGATGTGCAGTGCGTCGCACTGTTGCCATCGCGCAAGACAGCAGCGAGAGCATCAATCGTGGTGACGCGGCGATGTGGGCTGAGCTGAAGGGGAACCACGACTACCGGAGAACGTCCCGGCTACTTCCAAGAGGATGCCGTTCCTTTGTCATGGAGATCTTCGCAGGAGGGGCTGCTCTCACAGCTTACGGGATGCCAGTGGCGAGCCCTGTACATGTACAAACGCCAGGCTGGGATATTCGTGACCCGATGCCTTTGCCTGGGTAGCGCAGCTGATCAGGCAGCGCACCTCTTAGAGACAGCCTGGAATGGAGTTCTCTGGGACACCAAGTTGTTAAGATTTATAGATAGGAACCTGTATAGCTTTGTATAGTATCCCACACCTTTGTTGGAGCCCATGAAATGCAGCGCCTTTTGTGGTTCGAGAGAAAAGCGTGACCGCTTAGAGTTGTATTGTTTAACTTGGTAGCGGAGCAGAGCCTGAAGATCCGGGAATCCGTGGGACGGTAAGGAAGTACTGTACACCATCAGCAAGATCAGTATTCGAAAGAATGAGTATGGAAAGGATGCTGCCGAAGATGTGCAAGGACCTCTTTTGAATTGTATCAGTGCTCTGGATGGTATGGTACCCGCGCCAGGTAGTTGCAGAAGAAAGTTTGTATCACCTTGATTTTCTACCGCAGCCGTACTCCCTCAAAGAGGAAGTAAGAAACCTTGGGTGGGAATATCCCACAGTACCCCTGCAATGGAGAACAGACCAGAGCAGGACGAACGTATGGAAGAAAGGCCAGAAGCAGGAGCGAGAGTTGAAGAAGCATCTGCTGGAATGGTACCCGCGGCAGGGACCCTTGAGCTGGAACAGAAGCAATCCGATGATGTGCCCGCATCGAGAAGGCACACAGAATTACTCTCACTTCCCAAAGTGGACAGAAGGGGAAAAGCTGCGACCCCGGCTATCCGGCCAGGAGATACCTCTACACCTGCTACAGGAACCAAGAGTAGGACAGAACGGAAAGGAGATAAGAAGCTGCCAGGAAAGAGGAGAAGAGAAACAGGAAAGGGGAAGTCGGCGCGAAAAGCTGAAGAGTCTGAAGCGGAAAGAGATCCAGTGCGGAGAAAGCTCGATGCCGCTCTGGAGAATGCAGGCAGTATCGAGTCAGTCATTTTGCTCGAAAAGGAGTATAAAGCCCTTCGCCGAGACCCATCGCACAGACCGAATTTCTATTCTCTTATCGATCAGATTATCTCGAACTTCAGATATATCCCCCGTTCAGCATACGGCCCCCCGGCAGGGGAAGCAGAAAGGATTGGGATTGAGAAACTTCGGGAAGAAGTCAGAGCTGAGGATGCTGAAGCAGCAGGAATGGAAGAGTCAGATGGCGGTTCTGCCTCCAGGAAACGCAAGCTTGAAGAATTGGAAGAGAAGAGACGTGCCCTGGAAGAAGAGAGTGCTCGAAACAGAAAGAACTCGAAGATGAAGCTCGCAGACTCAGAGCTGTTGAAGAAGCCGAACGTAGAGCTCGAGAACAACGTCCGAAGAACCCCAAGCTGCAAGTACCAGTGGAAGCTGAGAAGGCTGAGAAAGGAGAAACATGGTTCGAGCGGAAGGCAACCGAACTGGTCGAAGGCTATATCCAAGCGTATGCACAGCAGCAGAAGAAGTCGAAGGAAGCCGCAGTTGCGTATGCCTCTGCGTGCAAGGATTCAGAAAAGGCACAAGA